CTTTATGCCTCGTTTCGATTCACAGAGCAGCTAATGAAACAAGCTGATCAGTTGCTAATCTGAATATATTCAAAGTAAGTTTAATGATCTGCAAAAAATATGCCATGCCTGCTTAATTATTTGAATTAATTTTATTTTTTTTAAAGAGCCAATTCTATTTTTTCTTGCAGTGAAATTGATGTAATTTGTGATATTTTTATTGCCGTTTTGGCATCAACAGCTTTCTTAACAAAAAGCCATCCTGAATTTCAGCTGATTGCTTATAATTCAAGGTGAAACTTCTTTCAGGGAATGTGGTGACATGCATGACCTTCAAGGATTCATTAATCTGGTCACGCTTTCGCATTCCAGGGCGGTTTTGTCCAAAGCTGTGGAAAAATGTGAGGGAGATCTTGTTTGTTTGGGACACAACAAAGGTCAGCAGTCATGTATTTTTTGCTGACCTGCCGGGGCTCCCGACAGCAAAAGCAACAGTGGAAGAAGGTGGGAGATGTGGAAGATGTGCAATCTGTGGAAAAAAACAAAAAGACATGTGAATCACAGTGTAGCTGTGACACACATAGTCCTTCCCACACCCAAGCTATCTCCTACAAGCAGACACATCCAAAAGAGCCAAGGATCCTGTAATCACACATGGAAATTAAGATGGATAGACTGTACAGTATTTAAGTAATCATACCGGGTCATGGCTGATTTTTTTGCAGACTGAATTCCCCAAAGAAAGTGTTTACTATCACAAATCACCTGCAGCCTGAGATGAGTTTTTCACACGCCACCTCGGGCCATTTATTCCTGGAACGTTACATAACGCAGTAGTGGGTTCTGCTTGCATTCAGCCAAAAAGCCTCTTTATAAGAAAACAGGAAGGTAAGAGGATTGAGGCAGCAAGGAAAACACAGTCATCAGCTGCAATCTCTATAAGGTGCCCTCCCAGGGATCTCTCTGTTTTATCAACATAAAAGGGCATCCCAGGGGGGATAGGTGGGGAATAGTGGAGGTAAATAATCACAGCCTCATCATATATCCAGAAAAAAAAGCACTTTTATTGGTAATTCTGAAATGTAACATTATTAGGCACAGTAAACAAACGATTAGCTTATTGAATGAATACTTTGATTTACTCTTTATTGTATCTCCAGCAGTATTGGAGCTTCTGATGTATCTCCTACCTGCTGAAAGGTGCTAATGGTTTAGTCCAAAAGAGAAAGAAATAGTTTAGCTTTAAAGAAAAAAACCGCATGATGCTAACTGTGACAAGTTCTGGCGGAAACACACTACAGCTTTCCAGTAATGTTTTTGGCCTGAATTCTAATTGATGTCTGAGCTATTGCACATGTCAAATATAGCTCATAAGGCTATTATGCACTTTTAAGGCGCTTGTGATCCAGAGCTTTCTCCAGTAATAACTTAGTCTGACAAAAGCTTAATAACTTGGACTCAGTTAAATATGTTGATACTGGTCAGTACTGAGAATTTTACAGCGTGTTTTTTTTTTTTTTTGGCTTTCCCTTTCAAAAGTTTGATTTTAATGCATCTATGTTTCTACAGACTGCAGTAATGGAGTCTTACTGTGAAATACAGTGCAGTCTCAGTATGGGGTGCACACAGTGCTTACCAGGTTTTTTCTAATGCTTAACATGAGTGTAAAATCTGTCACACATATGGAAAACCTCACAGTGACTCACAATATTTACATAACGCACTCGCTGCAGATGCATCGGCTCACATATATTTGTTAAGTTACTTATTCCTGTGACAATAGATACAATGTTTATGCCCTACAAGCCTGCATATGTACTGAGCCCTGACTGTTCACACAGTCTTGTATTTCCCATAAACAATGTTATCTACGTTACTGTATGTCATAATAACATGCTTCTGCACTGCTTTTCATCATGTTGGTTTCCTGTGAGCTTGGACACACATCAGACCAGTGTGGTGGTCCAGTTCCTTGATTGCTAAATTTCCTTAGCGATTACCTTGGAAAGCGCCCACGAAACTGATAAGTGTACACACAGCAGCTATTCAGCAGTGAAATTATGGTCAGCAAGCATGTTAATAATCACTGCTAAGCTAATGAATATTTTCTGTGGGCAGTATTTATCACTAAAAACACATTACTCAAAGTATTACCTGCTGGCAAGGACAGAAGTTGTTGAATCATGGTGCACACCCAATGATTGATGAGCTGATGAGATTAAAGTCGGTACGGATGCTGGAACATGATGTGAACACTTTTCCAAACTTCAGCAGAGATTGATGCATCAGAATTACAGCTAGGGTGGACAGGATAGTCTTAAACACACTGCTGCAAGAGCACCTCGACCCAGAAAATCTTCTCGAGGCTTCTGATGTGCAAGCACACACATCGAATGTGCCTGAAGTGCCGTGCTATTTCTCCCATGAGAACACACTGGCTCCTAACACCTCTGCAGCTCCGGAGACCAGCTAAAATTTCATACCATGACAGTAAATGAATCTGGCATCTGCATTACAGAGTTGTCATGTGTGTCACCGAGATGTCAAGCATGTAACATTTTAAGCAGCTTATTAGTTTTGCCTCCTTGGTAATGGATTTTACTTTGAATTGGAAAGTGAAATTGTCTGAATAGCCAGTTGGTAAGATTTGTGTCAAATTTGGGGAGAAACCTTCAGGACTTCAGGATAGCTTTGCATTTATATGCACACCTCACTATGTCCGATGACTGCAGCATAACAGGAAGCTGTATCCAAAGAGACAGGATGTTGGGTATTGTTGCACTGCTTGGAATAGAAATTACGGAAGGCTTGAAGGAACATGTCTGTAAGTGTTTTTTATATATAGATTTCCCAAGTTCACCCGATAATGTTCTGATTAGGTTTTTTTTTTTAGCTTGTTATGTCATGCTATTGTATAGAAGAGTGAGTGAATTGTGTTATCTCATAGCACAAAAGAATATATTGACAAGCTTGTTCAGTGACTTTCAGCTTTAGACAGAATTTAAAATTATATAATTGTTCATTTTGAAACCAGCAAAGTGCAGAAATGGGAAGACAAAACTGTTGTCATGAGAATTTGTTCTCTTTTGAAAAATTGTCTGCAATGTTCTCTGCAGAGAGCAAAGATAGTTCACAAGCATCGGTGCTGATTAGACTAGATTTTATCAACATCTGCAAGAAGAAGATGTCAAAACAGTTACATCATTTCTTTTCACCCTGTGGTTTAAAGATGCAGAAACAATAGTAGCATTTGGTTATACATTGCAAAACCACTGTATGAATATGCAACATATTGTTGGAATATTAATGCAAACACCTCGTAAATAAGATGTCTAATCTAACCTGAACAGCTTGTCTTTGTGTTTTTGTCTTTGCAAACTTAATATGAATTCATTATTGTCCCTTTAGTGTTTAGAAAGCTGAGAAAGAAAGATATTTAATTGCATCTTCCATCACAGAATTGCAAAACTAATAATGCTCATTTATAATAATGGGAATTTGTAGGCAGTTCTCTTTTAAAGAAAAAAAATGAGGTGCAATAAAGACTGTTTTTTCTGCTTGTAAAGGCTGTTTGAGGGTGCTGGTGACTGAGGTCAGTGTTTTTCCTGTTTTTTTTTCAGCAGGTAGACCCTTTAGGGTACATCTACCACTGACCACTGATATGTGGTGACAGTTGCCCTGCTCTTTAAAGCTTTTTTTTTTAAATTTTCATACTGTGGAGAGAGGTTACAGAGAGTGAGCGGGAAAAGAGTCAGGGAAACAAACATGTTCATGTTCTTGAGCCTTCAAGCGTGGACACAAACGTACACCTAAAAGCAGCTTTTATGTTGGCATCCGTGTAGGTTTACCTGCACTGGAAATCCAATAATGACAGGCTTCTGCCACATGGTATTTACTCATATACTTTAAAATCCCAAATAAGTGAAGCACTTATGTGTTGGGCAAAGCTACAGTCTGTACACCAGAGTACTTCAAAGTGACCCCTCTTCTGGCCTTGTGTGCACCTTTCTGTTTGGCTGGTACATTTTTCATAAACATCCCCTGGCTGTATGTCTGGTTGCCTAACATAGCTGCATATGTGTTATATAACTGAACCTCCAGAGCAAACAGATGGAAGCACCGCAGCAACAGGTATTACCTTCACTGTGCCAGCATAGAACAATTCCAGATTATGATTCATGAATAATGGATGGGTGCAATTGCACATAAACAAGTTAGGCCTTCACAAAAGTAGTTTACAATGATAGATGGGCATCTATGCTTCACTGACAAAATTCATGCACTGATCAGTGATCACTGCTTCCATTAAAGCTATTTTAATTTGAACACTTTGCCCTCCTAACTCATCACCTGCAGGGTTGATAAAGTTCAGAGAAACCTCCACCTGTGCTGTTTTACCTCTTGTTCCATCAGGGACTCTTAATGATGGTGCCATCACAAATTATTCAGGTTTTTCAAAGAAAAATTATTTCTGATGCAACATACAGTGCTTAACAAATGTATTCACCCAATCCTATACCCAGAATAATGTTTCACCCACATCTGGTTGAATGTTATGCTTGATTCATTTCTGACTTCTCAGAGTAGTCCCTTGTGCCAGCTCAAAAAATGTGAATTTAGCATTTTTTTTTTTAGTTCTGAAGTTTTTGATAGATTTCTAAAATATTTGCGTGTCCTTGTTTTTTTTTATAATAATACATTGATCAGGCAGTGTACTTATATATTGATAAACAGCGTGGTAGGAAACCTCATTTTAAAGGATGAAGGAAAAACTCGCACGTGTCTATTTTTTCCTACTGGCGATTTGGTTTGAACATGTAAAGCAGAGACATTAAATATGAAGAAAGAAAAAAATATTAAGGACAAAAAGCAAACTTTAAAGTTTTAAAGATATCTCTTCTCTCTCTCTCTCTCTCTCTCTCTCTCTCTCTCTCTCTCTCTCTCTCAGTTTAGAAATGGGCTGGTTCTCTCGGTGATGTCACCTCGCTCCTGTGTGGACATTTATTCCACACAGTGTGCATCTCCCGTTCGTCTCCATAGAGAAGCGGTTCACCCTAACGCAACTAGCATTACGCATGACATGGATGCCGCAGGAGCGAGTTTATTCTCGGAGTCTTTGCGGATTGTGAACTCTGCTCCTCTCGCAGTTTTCTCACACAGTCGACATCTGATGTGCGTGTCGGATCTCCCCAAAGGACGTGTGTTAAACAGTTTGCTGTTTCAGGAGATCACGTCTGCAGCCCCCGTGTCTTATGTGGGCTGCACTCGATAGTGACCCGGAGCTTTACGCGCAGCCGATCCCCATGCTTTAGCAACACAGCTCAGCGCACTCAATCTTAGATGTTTCGAAAAAGAACAGGGTGAAATAACAAAGATGATACAAACGGACATTTTGCAGACAGAATGGATTTAACCCAGCTAAGCCTCTTGTTGGGAAATGTTTCCAACGTTGAAAACACCACCGACGCACCGTTCGCTCTGCCACACACAGAGGCAGCCACCGCACTCATCATCCTCGTGGTTACAGTGATCATTTCGGTCACAATTGTTGGTAATGTGTTGGTGATTGTAGCGGTTCTTACTAGCAGGGCTCTCCGTGCCCCTCAGAACCTTTTCCTGGTCTCTCTTGCATCGGCGGACATCCTGGTGGCCACACTAGTGATCCCCTTCTCCCTCGTCAACGAGGTAATGGGCTACTGGTACTTTGGAAGTACTTGGTGCGCCTTCTATCTCGCTCTGGATGTGTTGTTCTGCACCTCATCCATCGTTCACCTGTGCGCCATCAGCCTGGACCGATACTGGTCAGTAACAAAGGCGGTTAGCTACAACCTGAAACGGACACCTAAGCGCATCAAGTCCATGATTGCTGTAGTGTGGATAATATCTGCTATCATCTCCTTCCCTCCTCTCCTCATGACCAAACACGATGAACGGGAGTGTCTGCTAAATGATGAAACCTGGTACATCCTCTCATCCTGCCTGGTCTCCTTTTTCGCTCCCGGTCTCATTATGATTCTGGTATATTGTAAAATTTATAAAGTTGCCAAGCAGCGCTCCTCCACCGTGTTCGTGGCTAAGAATGGCCTGGAGAGGCAGCCCTCTCAGTCAGAGACCTGTTTTGTCAGGAAGGACCGGTTCGAAATGGAGAGCCCTAGCAGTCAAAGCTCCGGCAGCCATCCGCAAAAGCAAGGGGAGCTGGACGACATCGACCTGGAGGAGAGCTGCTGTGCATCGGATACGAAACCCCGACACCATCGCTTCACCAAGCGAAGGAAAGTAGAGGGATCGGACAGTTGTCCACCCCAGAACTGCCGACTTTCCTGGGCTTCAGCCCGGGCGTTACAACTTTACCCGGAGCAGAAGAACCCAGCTGGGCGACAACAGCTGGCCGCAGCCAACAAGACCAAAGTGGCCCAGATGCGGGAGAAGCGCTTCACCTTCGTCTTGGCGGTAGTGATGGGGGTGTTTGTGCTCTGCTGGTTCCCCTTCTTCTTTACTTACAGCCTGCATGCTATCTGCAGAGAGAGCTGCTACATCCCCGCCGCACTTTTCAACCTTTTCTTTTGGATTGGCTACTGCAACAGTTCTGTGAACCCCATAATCTACACCATTTTCAACAGGGATTTCAGAAAAGCTTTTAAGAAAATCATATGCAGGACATCAAAACGCACATGAAAGGTTGAAAAATAATTTTCTGGCTCTCAGAAACATTGGGAAGAAATCATAGTATTATAACTTATTGATCTTGGCTGACTATTCTGCTACTCCATCATTTAAATGTAATGTTTAGCATATTAAAAATATCCAGTGTTGTGTACACATTAAATTGTCTATAATTGAAATAAATCATTATATATACTTGACCATTCCTGCAGCAAGCTCAGATATTTCAGGGCAAGGGGAAGTCATGGTCACGTCTGTTGCTGGACTCTGAGTGTTGGCAGCTGGTCACTGTGGGTGCCGAGATAAATAGAAGATTAATCTCCAGCATGGAGATTTTGACTTTTTTTGTGATATTGAAGAGGAAAAAAAGTGCTGAATTCTGCATGGATGAAATGTTTGGCATTATTTCAGGTAATTCGTGTAGCTTTCTGTGCTTGCTGCAGTTAAAGGTACAGCAAGGTTATCAGCTGTTTCTTATCAGTGAACCCCTAAACTTATGTAAGAGTGTAATCTCACACCTCCGCCATGCTATCACATTACCTCAGGACCAGAACAATGGCCGAGCTGAGGCCTGCATTTGCAGAATTGATTGCACACGTCTCTGTATTTCATTTCCCTGCAACTGCTTAACATTTTGTCATTAAATATTTTAAGATGCTGTTAAACATGCAGTGCCAACTTACTATACATATCGTTTTTAAGTCTTAGACAAAAGCCTCCTGATGGATTTGACATATTCTTGAATAAACAGAAGAAGAACACTCAAAATAACAAAAGTAAAAACATTTCTGATAAGATCTCAGGACTGGTTTAATCCACTGTGAGCTCTCTTTGGTTAAAAAAAGAGTTTAATATCTATAAGTCAGGCCTCACACTGTGATGCTAAGCTTTATAAAGCTGTTAGATTACTACTTTCTTAATATAGTGAAAAATCTGCAGAAGAAATCATTCATAAGGGACAATTCTTCAGTATGTGATTAAAAAATGATTAATGCATTGGTACAACTCGCATACATAGGATGGGAGTGTTATTAGAAGACTGTATTTGAACTTCCCAACACTGTTTTCCATACAACATCAGACTGTGGTCGGTTGTTGATGCATGTGGGATACAACGTGTATGTCATACGGTGAATATATCATGAAGGACCGCGCTGAGTATAAATACACTATTTATATCCTCTTAGGAATGTCTTCAAAGCACTCCTACTGCTCACTGGCCCCTCGCCAAAGATAATCACCCTGTCTGAGGGATGTCATGCTGAAAAAGAGAAAAAAAAATGAAAGCAGTTTTTGTGAAGTATGCTCACATTCACAAGGGTATTGTTAAAATACTGTCAGGAGAAACAAGGGTGAAGATGGCTGCATATTTTCTTTTCTTTTAATGTGAAATACCATTTTATTTATGAAGGGAATCAGAAAGTCCGAGAGGAGTGTTGTTAGCGCGAGGAAACTTTATCTCAGAGGGATTCACAAACTCTCGAAAGAAATTAAACGTCTGGGTCAAGTCGCACTTGTAAGAGTCGGTGTAATTAGCTTTGTTCCTTCATCACATTTAGCAGGATGGGATTGATGCTTATTTATCTGTGACTTAATGGGATGTTGCTGTACACATGTTACATGTAACCTGATTTCTCCAGAGAACAAAATTACAAGTGCATTTTTCATTACCTCAAAATGAAACACTCATATTTAAATTATTTGCTGATAGTAAACTGATTCGTGGCTGACAAGACACCCAACTCCCTTGTTAAATCACACTTCCGAATTCAATTGTCTTTTGTAATCAGCTGCTCAACTGCAGCAGGATTGGGGCACAATACTTTTAATTAGCTGTAGTGTTTTCTGACGCTTTCATGTGCACTTCCTCCAGGCAAGTCTCTTCAAATGTCAGCGCAGCTCTGTTAAATCTTTTGAAAGCGAGCGCTTGCAATATTACATTACAGTGCTGTTATTTTCCTTTGGTGACCCGGGAGGAAAGTATGACAAAGCAAAACATGGAGAATTTTCATAGTCCTTCACCAGTCGTCGCATAAACGCTCTGATAGCTCAACTTTTATTCAAAACCAAGCCTGTGGTGGCTTTTTGTGTTTTGCAGATTTGAAGCTCTACAGTCTGCACAACAATCCACAAACTCTTTTCCTTATCCCAGAATGTAAACAAAGTTGGCGACTGGCTCAGGAAGGGAAGCAGAGCTGCAGTGACCCTTGACCTCCTAAACTCTCTTCTAAAGACTTAATGAGAGCAACAGAACAACTGGACAGAGCCAAAACATTTCCTGATGTGGACTGTTGACAAAAAAAGCCCCACTCGAGCCTCTTAATAGGGGAAGAAGAGTGAAGATTTGGAGTTAAAAAAACAACAACATTTTTTTAGAGCCAGAAAATTTTGCAAGGTTATTTGCAGTCCTAATAGTCAGAAAAGAGACAGTAATGAATATTTCAAGATAGGTGCGCCGCAGAGAAAAGTGAGCGTCTTAGGAAAAGGGAGAGAGTGGAGAAGGGAGCAGTTGCTTCTTGTTGTCTGCTACATTACCTTGTTTATCACACAACGGAGCATCTGCAGGTAATTGCTTTTTTCAATTGTCTCTAACAAGATAAGGATTGGAGGCAAGTGAGGCCAAATTTCGACTCAATCTCAGGAAGCTGTGTATCCAGAGAAGGAGACCTCAGTATGTCATTAGTGTAAATCAGCTGGTTTCATGTCTGAGCGAGGGTGGAACTGGGCTCATGTCTCCAGGGTGTTCTGATATATCGCCCTGCTAAACGCAACCACTATGTGACTTGAGTCGACAATATAAATCACACCGTACTAATTTAAAGATGATAGTGGTATTATCTGTGTTTGAGAGCAGATTTTACTAACTGAATCCCAGTGACGTTCATATTGCATTTTAAGATATTTACTATTTACTATACTATGTTTTGTATTTTCCGTAGAGATTTGGAAATTAAAATATTATTGTGCATTTCCCTTCATTGTGGTGAACATGGGCACTGTTTAGATAGAGCCAGTCCAGCAAACACTTTCCCCGCTGCTGTGGAAAATCTGTAGCACGGCGAGTTTGCTGCTAAATCTGCATAAATTATCCTCAAATGACACAATCTACTCCAATCTGAATAACAATACAGTGGCCGGAAGTTTAAGAAAGTGGACTGGATCACTGGTTTTAAAATTGTCTTATGATTCATCGTCTGCTTTATTCCTTTGATTCTCAACAAATAAAGAATGTGTATAAACAAAGAGAAATATGTAAGCCATGTAATTAGTCATAACTGATACAATGTCGCTCATTTGGACTGAACGTTTACATCATGCTCGGTGGCTGTAACTCCTTAAAACAAAACTATTTTCCCCCTTGTATGTTCTCATACAGAAAAAAAAACATGTCTGAGGGGTGACTAATGACTTGGACTGTGCTGGAAATGTTTTAGTCCCCAAAGACCCAACTAGGACACGTAATCTGAGTTATCTCTGCTCTGGTACCTGCCTTATTATTTGTTATCCAGGATTAGGTACAAAGATAGTTCAAAAAGTAATGAGTAGTCATTCTAGGAGACAACTTAAGTTTACCTCCATTTAACTCCAAACTATCTCTGATTTAAATGTTTGGTAGTGATGAGGTAATGATGTAATAATGATGCAATAAGGTGGAAAAAAGGTAATAATATTTATTGCCCATTTATATAAATTTCAGTGAAATATCACTCAGGTATGATGATAGTTGACACATTACTTGGTTATTTGACATTACTTTTGTAGAGTGGTAATAACTTGTTATTACCATATTATTACCCCCACACAGCTGTAATACAAGGTGATACTTAAGTAACGGACTCTTCATCACTACATTCAGAACATTCAGGGACATTTGCACCTCTCTGAGTTTATATTCATGAATTCCTCCAGAACTACAGGTCTAAAGTATTGCACCATCCAGATAGAAAGTGGACAACAAGGCCTTCTGAATGCTGTGTTGCTGCTAACTGGCTTTACACATCAGTGAGTGAGAGACACTGCATCCATCCATGCACAGTGTCTCATAAATTGCACACAATTCATGAGAGACCAAATCTTTTTATCCTCAGACAATATTTAAACTCAAACAAAACATTTGTGCAGCTGCTTCATTTGGGGAAATCTCTGCTACATTTCTCTCACAATCTGGACTGTTGTTAACACGCTCCAGTGCTTTCCCTCACTCCTGTGATGAGACAGATAACTCGGGCTGATTATGCATTCTGCTGGACGATGGTGCATCTCTGCCAACTGATTATTATTTATTTCTATCATCACCGGTAAACACACATAAGACAAACACACTCTCAGCTCTCTGCCAGGCGCTCGTCTGTTTCACACATACAGGGAGAGTAAGTAAAGCATTAAGAGGATGTTTGTGACCTGTGATAGCCTACATAGTCTTTAAAGCCTATGATAGCCCAGATAGGATCTTTCACCTTTAAAACAGGAAATGAACTGGACCTGCTGTTTAGCAAAGGTATGTCACTGTCACACAACAGGGACACTGCACTCTGAATATCGTTAGTTCACTTTTAAACAACACATAACTCACTGCTAATTAAAATAACTGTAGTCTGAAACACAGCAACCTCCCTGCCTTTTGACCCTTTTATATTTCACCAACCATCCAGATTCATAAAAGCACATATGAAACCATTTTTTCCTTTCAAGGCTTGTTTTATGAAGCACTAGTAGGGGTCGCTTCCTGCAGTGTTTTTCTAAGTTGAAACAATTTTTGTGGTGGCACCTGCAGCAATAACACTCTGCTAACTAATATTTGTATCAAAAGGAGGATGAATATTAGAAATAATGAAAATGGGAGTTACTATAAAGAGCTTCATGTGCATAGAAATAAAGTCTGTGTTATTTCCTCAGGCAGGAGGGATCGGCTCTGTTGTTTTTCACCACCGACAGCAACAACAACACTTCGGCGCATACTCTCTTCTTCCCCAGTTTAAATGGATATGAAGGATGGGTGTAAATGCTGATGATTATGAGTTCACATGCATGTTTTTCTTCTTTTTATTTTACTGAAGATATTAAATAAGTGGCAAATAAAAGTAATCTTTAAGAACTTCTTCAACAGTATTGATTGCATTTAGTTCTTGAATGACTTACAAGTAACTCACCGAGGCTGCTTTTGCTCAGCGTATATATGTGTGCAGTGATCATGAAAGAT